AAACGTTCGTACTGTCAGTCGATTTTCGGCAAATTCTTCCCGTCGTTGTGAGAGGCACGCCCGCAGAAACGATTGACGCCTGTCTGAAGTCGTCATGTCTGTGGCAGCACTTCGAACAAGTACACCTCACCGAGAATATGCGAGTGCGATCGGCCCACAGCTCAAGTACAGCGGCTGAACTGGCAGCCTTTTCGGAATTCCTATTACAAGTTGGCGAAGGCAGACACGAGGTGAACCCTGCTCTTGGAGGCGACTATATGAAGATACCGCGCGACATGTTGGTCGAGAACCCGCCTGAAGTACCCAACGTGGACGCTGAGATCGTGCCAGGCGCTATCCCAATCGGGCTTACTCGGATGGTTGACGCCATGTACGCTGATATCAATAACCCGGACATCGCAACTGATGACTACTTCGCGAGCCGTACTATCTTGACGACGACGAATGCTATGGTTCAACGTATTAACGATGCGGTGTCTGCGCGCCTGGAAGGTGATGCCCAAGATTATCTCTCCATTGATTCGGTACAAGATGACCAAGACAGCAACTTCTTCGACCAAGAAGTCCTGAATTCTGTCAACATCAACGGTATCCCGCCACACCGACTGACGCTTAAGGTGGGAGCACCAATCATGCTCATGCGAAACTTGAACCCGGACTTAGGCCTATTTAACGGCACGCGACTACGGGTGGTGGCGCTAAAACCTCATGCCATCCACGCCACGATCATGACGGGGGAGCGTCGCGGAAAAGACGTGCTGATTCCCAGGATTGTATTCATAAGTGATGACAACGCTCGAGACTTCCCGTTTCGCTTGAGGCGCAAGCAGTTCCCGGTACAGCCTGTATTCGCGATGACGATCAACAAGGCCCAAGGACAAACGGTGTTTAACCTCGGATTGTACCTGGCGTCTCCCTGCTTCTCACACGGCCAGCTGTATGTCGCGCTTTCCCGGGTTACTGCGCGCTCCAAGATCAAGGTGTTGATTGAATACCCCGAGTTAGAAGAGGATGACGGAGCGTACACAGCGAATATCGTGTACAGGCAGATTTTCGAGACGGCGTAGTCATGGTGAAGGAGGGCATCCTGCATATAACATTGAATAATATGTATTCGTTTGCATTTGAAGTTAGTTTGTTTTACAAGTTTTATACAACACACCTGACTAATAAGCCCACCGGAGCGAAGCGGAGGTGGGCGACACTTACTACTATGCCTAACCACCAAACCTTCCGCCGCGTAGCGGCGGCGCTCGGCTAGTCTACAACAACTAATAGAGAGATCTGTCCGTCTGTCAGTCCGTGTGTCACGCATGGCGACAAAATTAGGGTGGTCCACATAATCATACATAGACAGTCTTGGTCGCCGAAGGCGGCACCCGCGTGCGTTCTAGCGGGCCGCCCGGCCCGCCCTACAACTATGTACTAATAACACGGCGAGTAGTGCAGCGAGCCGACGAGGCGAGGCGACTACGTCACCCCCGCCGTGACGCTTGGCCTAATATAATACTTTTCGGAACACCTGCTATTAATTAAAATGGGCCCACCGCGTAGTAGCACAGTCCGCTTAAACATATAATAGCACTGCGAGCAGTGCATAGTGGCAGCGATAGCTGGGCTTGCCCTACTACATAGTACAATTATAATTCAGCGAACTTGCTTAAATATAAGCACATTGTAAGCCATAGCAGCGCATAGTTAGCTATAGCAGCGCGTAGTCAGCGATAGGAGCACGTAGTAAGCGATCTGAATGTATAGTTAGCGATAGCAGCACGTAGAAAGCTATAGGAGCACGTAGTAGGTGATAGCATCAACGTTGTAAGTGATTGCAGTGCGAGTAAACGTAGCGGAAGGCGTGCACGAGATTATTACTAACATGAGCAGCATACTTTTACTGTAATACTTTAGGGATGGATACATTATAGCTACAGCGGCGCTCTGCGTTCATCTTGGGGGGGATATTTAGCTACACTTGCTTAAACGCGTTTCGTATATCTTTAAGGTACAATGTGTAGCGTTAGGAGAATGCGTTAGTGGGGTAGTAGATAATATTCACTAAGTGGAAGCCTTTTATTATAGTTTACGCTGGGATTCCTTTTCTAACCGTGTTATGGGGCGGATATACACGCAGGAAACCGAATTAACAAAGCGCAAACGTGACTTTATAACTATATAGTTACGAGTGCGAACTCTCTATTTCTTACCTACTGTAATGCAGGTGGTACACTAAAATGGTAATGTTCGCCGCGTAGTAGAATAATACCACGTCTAAAACAATGAGTTTTGAAGTAGACCACGCAGTAGTTAGCGCAGCCCGCAGCTACGTTTTGGCGGAACATACGAAATACTAAAACGATGATGTATGCTCGGTTATATAAGATCACAAGCACTTAATGTAATGCCAAGTACAGGAAGAGCGAAGCCCATACTTTGATTGTTGCGGGGGCTTATAGTCGAATGCAGAATGAATGTATTATTGCCTACGAACTAAAAACAGAGAGCTACGGTGGGATGATAAACTGAACAAACAACACGTAAGACATCTTATGTGAGCACACATAAGATACCAACACCAGATCGATCTACCCTACCATGGCATATTGCTCATGTTCATTTCTACTAAACTCACAGTAAACGCAGATTGTGAGATATGTACTGTGCGGTACTTTGTAATTCGGGTTAACCAGTTGCGACGGGAGCACAGGACCGTACAATAGAGAATGCTTTACCCTGCAACATGCATCTACTCATAGTCCACTGACGTTGGAATAGCTATTACCAGCCACGTCACTCTACTGATAGTACTTCAAACCTATAAACAATTTTACATGTACACAATCGAAATGAATACCATTTGAATTTTAAAAAAGCCCACCGGAGCGAAGCGGAGGTGGGCGGCCCTTACTACTGCGACTAACCACAAAACTACCGCCGCGTAGCGGCGGCGCTCGGCTAGTCCTAAGTATCAATCAGAAAGACGCGCTGTCCGTGTGTAGATCACGTGAATTCCTATTGGCTGAAATTGCTGCCGAGCGCAGCGAAGGCGACCCCCTCATACGATATTGCGGGACCGCCCAACCTCTGTAGAAGTAACTAAACATTGAGAGTAGTGCAGCGAGCCGACGAGGCGAGCGGAACGGGTCCGCCACTGCCGTAGCGAAGCGTTGGTAGCCTTCTCCAATAGCGGAGCGAACATAGCGAGCGAAGCGCCAACTAACTAAAACTCCCCGCCGCGCAGCGGCGGCGCTCGGCTAGTATGGGAAATGCTAAAGCCATCGACATTACCAATACGTACCACTAATCTGGTATATCCAATCTGATGCAGTCGGTAGCTGCAGTTTAGAGCCCCGAGACAGACTGACGTACTAGGGCCCCGAGAAAGACATGGAGTACATCAACTACTAGTTCCCTGAGGCGGTCACCGAGTACGTAAAGTTCTAGCGCCGCAAGACGGCCATGGAGTACCCGAAGTGCTCGAGCCCCGAGACGGCCATCGAGTGCATGTCGTACTCCGAGTACATGCCGTACTAGAGCCCGGAGACGTACTCCGAGTACGTAAAGTACTAGAGCCCCGAGACGTGCTCCGAGTACGTAAAGTACTCGGAGTACGACATGCACTCGATGGCCGTCTCGGGGATCTAGTACTTCAGGCAATCGGTACCCGTCTCGGGGCTCGACCTCTTCGGGTACTCCATGGCCGTCTTGCGGCGCTAGAACTTTACGTACTCGGTGACCACCTCAGGGAACTAGTAGTTGATGTACTCCATGTCTCTCTCGGGGCCCTAGTACGTCAGTCTGTCTCGGGGCTCTAGTACTCGGCAGATGGTGATTGCCAGAGCCTAAACTGCAGCTACCGACTGCATCAGATTGGATGTACCAGATTAGTGGTACGTATTGGTAATGTCACGGGTCTCTAGTACTTTTGTCTCGTGGCTTTAGCATTTCCCCCTGAATATCCTCGTACGCAGCAGTAAGAGCAGGCCCTCCGACAATTCGACTGCAATGAAATTTAAGTAAATCAACAAATTAACTCATTGTAGGGAAGTTCTTGGTACGGATACATACATTATTCCTGCTGACCGCGCAATATCGTACCACTACGGCCTGCATCTCACTTTGTAGCGTTCACTACGTCTGCTACCGTCTTCACACCCCACAGCTGGCGGTTCACCTTGAGGAAAAGAATGGTCTCCAGGTGAACAGGAAGCAATCCTGCGGGAATGCGGAGGCCTACGAAGTGTTAAGACAGCAAGCTGCGGCTGGTTCTGTGGCTGCGCCTGGCAGGGACCGAGGTTTATAGTACAGCAGGGGGTACAAAATTATGTTTGACGGTTTTCTCGACGTGTGTTATTGATATTTTTCGAGGTAGCAAAAAAAAATAATTCCATACAAACCCTTACTATTTAGTTGGTTCAAGTCGTTGCACTTCACGCTTCAACTGCACAAGACTTCAAACTGATTCCGACGGATGAGCCTCAGCGGGGCGAAGTCGAGAGAAGCAGAGGTGCTACTGCGACAAGGAGCACAGCATCTACGAGCGACTCAAAACTAATGCGTTAAGTCGAATGTCAGCTCTTTATGTTGCACTGTCCCGAACGGCTTCGCATCGCTCCCAGCTAGTAGAGTGTACTTGGTTTGTTCGCGCCGGCCCCAGCTTTCGATCTAAGGACAGTCTGAAGCACAAATCTTGGCAAATAGACTACACGATGCATTGTACTCCATTTTGAATCGCCTGAACATAGGCGGGCAGCCTCTAGTCCACTCGGACGACTGGAATAGCTGTTGTTGTGTAGCTGCTCCTAAGTCTTATCCGCCTACGCTGCGGCATCACTCCACGAGACCAAACGCTCGGGTCAAAGCGCGAGGACGACCATCGCAGATAAATATAAGTGCCAAGTGGTGGCACGCATAACTCGACCGCTCTTCCGAGGCTCAGAAACCTTGGGCTTTTGGGGGGTCAAGAGAACCTAACTATCTGCGCTCTGCGTAGTATTGCGTCCATGGCGTCCAGCATCCCGAAGCCGCGGGCGTCTCTGACGGCAGCGCAAGGCTTGTCGCCCGTGATGCGCGTTCCGCTGGGCAGTCGAGTCGTTCTCTCTCGTAGACGCAATGGCACCGTCAGATATGTCGGCAAACTCGCCAACGAATCGGGCGAATGGTATGGCGTGGCTCTGGACGAGCCCAAAGGCGACACCGACGGCACCCGGGGCAAGGAGCGATACTTCTACTGCCCGACAAACCACGGCGTCTTCGTGCGACGGAAGGAGATCTACTGCGTCAAAGAGCCCGGCAACATTCTCAAGGGCCCACCGTCCCCCATTACCGACGACAGCAGCAGTTGCAGCAGCAGTGCCTCCGCTGACCAGCACGCAGAAGGACAAGCCGCGCCTACAAACTCCGATGGATCGGCGTCGCCGTTGATGAAAACCTTCAAGGGCTTCCGTAAACAGCTCGACTTTATATCTCTGAGAACAATTGGGCCAGGCAGAAGCAGAGACGCGAGCCCAGCGACTTCGCCAGCATCAAGCACGCCGCCGTCTCCTTCAGCGAAATCGGGTCTGAGGCCACCGTCGCCGTTTCGACGCTTTTCATCTTTTACTCAGGAATTGCCACAACCGCTGAGCCCTGGAAGCAAGCTCGCTCCTGACGATCGACGGAGGCAGTCAGCTATCCCGCTGTCACCCAAGCCGGCCCCTGTCCGACGAACCAGCAGCTTCAGGGAACCAAGCTCGCACCCCGTCGACGACTCCGTTCGACCGGCTGAAAGCACGTCATCAATGCGCTTAAGCAGCTTCCAGCAGCTAGCGAGTACAGGCCATTCAGCAAGCGAGGATTCAACGCCAACCACGGTGGCAGGCGATAGTGAGACGTCGCTGTCATCTCTTATCGGGTCAATGAATGAGATCTGGCCCACAGTCGGTGAACCTGAAGGTTTGCTCTTCTCGATGCAGGCCACGACAGCAGTGGCAACAGATGAGCAGAATGGGGACCTTCAAGTAATAAGCGAGGAGGTTTCATCCTCCAGTCGCGCTAGCAGCTTCACCGCAGCTCTGGCCGAAGAAAACGCAACTGGGAACAGCGGCATCAGCAGTGCAGAGACGTCTACAATTTCCTCCTCCTGTCAAACTGACAGCGCCGCCGAAGAGATTAGCATCATTGCTGAAACACAGGAGCTATCCGCAGTACCCCTGGAGCAGCTGGACGCCATCCCTGAATCAATCTGCCCCAATGAAAGCCAAACCAGCGAGACATTGACAACAGAAGTCACGTCCGAAATCCTCTCGGCCGGGCGTACCAGTGCGTTTCACATTCCACCGATCGATATCAGCGCGATTCCAAGATCCAGCGAGATTGTCGTAGCAAGACGCTCGCCTTCAGCATCTCCTCGCGAGTTATCTCCTACCTGCGCTCGCTGTTCCCGTCACAACAGTCCTACCGACTCCCAGCTCGACGGATCTCGAACAACTTCGACCGAGAGGACCCGTTCCTTTCGCTTGGGGCGCTCAAGCAGCTTCCGGGTTCCTGCCAGCCAGGACGGATCACCTCGACGCTCTCCAACGTCGTCCTCTGATAGCTCGCCCTCTCGACGTTCCAACAGCCTCTCGAAGTTATCCTTCGACCATGTTGATGCATTCGACGATGGTAGCGAAGACGGCCAGGGCTCGCCTGTTGACAGCATCATGCCGAGTCCTCGTGACGATATCAGTGAGGCTTCCGCAGCGTCTGCGCCTGAACCGCGCGTGAAAGGCTTCTCGCTACAGAGGAGTCCGCGCGGCCGACAGGAACTCACTGCAGTGGAGTCGCTCTCTCCGGACAAGAAGCTGGTCGAGGCCGACTCCGGGTCTGGAGAGCGGCCGCTGTTTTTCCGGCGCACGAACGTCGGGCGATCCACGATGGAGCGTCGATCAAGCTACAGTTCCTTCTCGACGTCGTCGTCATCGTCGCCGCCCAAGTCGCCGATGTCGAACAGCTCCACGAACGCAGGGTCGCGGTCATCTCGTGTGGCAGATTTGGAGAGGGAGATCACGGCGATGCGGTCGAGCCACGAAAACATCGTGGCCGTGCTGCGAGCGACGAACAAGCAGCACGCAGCCAACGTGCTGGAACTGCGCGCGCAGGTGGCAGCTCTCACCGAGGGGAACCTTTGGCTCGAGCGCCAACTCACCGCCAAAGGGGAACTGGTCCGGGAGCTGCGCGAGATGGAGAAGCAGCAGCAGCGCGACACGGTCAGCGTGAGTGAAGTCCAGAAGATCCTCGAGATCAAGGACGCGCAGATCCAGACGCTCGAGCGCGAAATGGCCCAACTGCGGCAGCGGCTGGCCCGCCTCGAATCGGACAAGGACAGCCAGCTCTACCAGCAGTTCCAGCACTTTGAAGCGCGGCGGGAACGCGACGAGAAGCGTATCAACGAGCTTCGGAAGGAGGTTTTGGCCATGGTGCGTCCTTGTGTAGACTGTCACAGTGATGCATCGCAACTAACCCGTGACGTGCTTTGTGCCTCGCAGTGCAACGAGAGATTCGAACTGCAGTCCGAAATGCGCGACCTCAAGGAGATGACGCTACGATTCTTTTGAAAGAAACTTTAAAGTTAAGCATGAAACCAGTACTCCCGTCGTTTGTTGTTGTTGCCGAATTGATTGCCATCAACTTATAAAAACCACACGTAGATCTATCGAGGAGGGGGCAGCAAGCGATCGATGTTGAAGTGCTCGCGCCTGCAGCAGCAAGCTGCTTTCCACTCCCCAGTGACGGCTCCGACCGTCGATAGATATCTGACTGACCTAACTACTTGCAACCCGCAGCGATGTGCAGCCGCGATACGGTGTTGGGCTGAGCTCACGCACTCGCGCACGTATGCAGAACGCGCGCGGTGCTGGTGGCAGGGCCGCTTTACGCCTGCAGGTCCTTGGCACGGACCTTCTTTTGGTTCTTCTTCCGCTTCTCCTTGCGGCGCTGGTTACGCGCCTTCTTCTGCGACTCCGACAGCCGCTGCACGCGGCCCACGTCGTCCACGCCATCGGGCGACTCGAAGCCGTCGCTCGACGTCGACGCCGTCGAGACCGGGGCCTGCGAGATGGACTTCCTGCTCTTGCTGCGCTTCTTCTTCTTGGGCTTCTTCTCCGTCGCCGCCTCCTCCATCTGCTTGGCCGCAGTCGTGAGCGTCACCACCGAAGCGTTCTTCTCCGTCATCTCCACCTTGAACGAGTGCGAGTCGTCGCCCTTGCTCGTGATCGTCACCGTCTTGCCCACCACCGTCTTGTTCGCCGTCGGCTGGCTCGTCACATTCGTCTCGACAACCGTCGAGCCGCCCGTCGTCGTAGTCGTCGTGGTCGTCGTAGTGGCCGGCTTGGCCTCCTCCTTGATCTCCTCGACCTTCGTCTCCTCCTTCTTCTCCTCAACCTTCTCCTCCTTCTCCTCCTCGACCTTCACCTCCTTCTCCTCCTCGACCTTCACCTCCTCAACCTTCTCGACCTTGGCCTCTTCAACCTTCTCCTCCTTTTTCTGCTCCACCTTGGTCTCAACCTTCACTTCCTCCACCTTCTTCTCTTCAACCTTGGCCTCCTTCTTCTCCTCAGCGACGGGGGCCTTCTTGGCGTCCATGGCGTTGTCCTTGATGGCGGACACCACGGCGGCGCCGAACGCGGCGTTCACGAGGGCCTTCTTGCCGTCCTGGGCCTTGTCCGAGAGCTTGGTCTTCTTCTCCTCGGCCTTGGGCTCGGGCTCCTGCGCGGGCTCCTCACTGGCGCTCTCGTCGCTGGCCGTCTGCTCCTGCTCCTCGTCCTTCTTCTGCTTGAGCTGCTGCTGCTTCTTGGCCTCCTTGAAGCGCTTGTCCACCTCTAGGTACTCGCGCAGCAGCTTGGCCACCGTCTCGGGGCGCTTCTTCTGCTGGTAGAACTTGAGCACGGCCTGCAGGAAGGCGTCCAGGCGCGGCTGGCGCTCCTCGGGCTTGGGCGAGAAGAAGAAGCCGCCCTTGGGCGGGAAGTCGAACTTGAAGCCGCGCTCGGCGGAGCGCAGCTTGTCGTAGAAGGCCAGGTACTTGCTGTAGCGGATGCCCACCGTCCAGGACGCGCCGTCCAGCGTCACCACGGTCGTGTACGCGTGGAAGGACGTGTAGTCGAAGCCCGTCACGCGCGCGGAGAGCGTGGCCAGCGAAGTCGCCATCGTGGTCGTCACTGCAATTACACTCTCGGAGACGTGTGCGCCCCAGGCCGAAGAATCTCGAATGGCCAGCCTCGAGCCAAGGTGAGTGGCTTAGCCAAAGGTGCTCGAGACCATGCGCAGGGCACGCCCTCCCTCGCCGGTGCGCAGAAAGTAGCCGGACTTGGATTTGCTGTCGTCGTGATGTGTCAAGCAGCACATTGGCGCTGGCATTGGTGCTGGGGACTGAAGCCAGGTCTATGCAGCCTCGCGCCTTGTTTGGCCAAATTCTACGCGCGCGGCACCATCTTCGACACTGCAGGCCCGACGATAGGGCGCGGCGGCCTGTGCAGGGCGAGCTCGGGCTTCCTCGCAGGCACGTCACCAAGCTGTGCGGCGGCTGGGCTGGCAGCGCTTCTACCTGGTCATCCACAGCATTGCATTGCCAGCTTCAGCATTTGCGCTGCCGGAAGGTCGCCATGTCTTTTGATGTGTGCCCACGATTGCAACACCAGTTGAATGGGCCTATCCGCGAATGGGTAAAATGACTTTTTCTTATCCGTGCATGGCTTGGCTTTGGTGGCGCTTCCTGGCGGCATGGCCCGACGGCTTCAGTCGCCGCCGGAAGAGCTCGATCTTGGTAGAAGCGATCTGCCCATATTGAAGACGCCCGCAGCTCGAGGCCAGGGTTCTTAGATTCCGACCGCTGGGCATTACTCTCGCTGCGTTCGTGATGATGCCCGTGGCGTGGCGGGCTGCCACGTACCAAGCCATCTTCAAGCTCTCCTGGCCCCAAGTTCTGGATCGCCTGGATGCAACAGGTGACGGCACGCTAGTGACGGCGCATTTAGCGCCCGAGTTGGACGCTGGACGTCCGCGTTGACACCGGGACAACCAGCACGCTTCTGTGAGCGTTCTGCCCGCGGGACGAGCCCAGAAATCGGTCTCAGATTGAGACAGACTGGCAGACACCGACGCGGCGACGGCGGCGAGCTCGGGCCGCCATTGACTCGGCCGCGATTCGGCGCTGAAAGCTTCGGCGAACGCTTTCGCGCGCGCACGACAGAGCACAATGTGCTGCACTGCGGATACCCCGCAAGAGTCGGTGGAGATGGCTTCGAGATCGGCTTGGCGTCGCAGCCAGCAGCGCTGGACTTGTATTTGCGATCTTCTGCGGCGTGGGTGACTTGGCTGCTGTCGGCGCTGGCCTTGTGGGCAGCCTTGATGCTGCTTGCTCACGGTGGTGGGGCCAGCACAGCGCGGGGCAGTGGTGTGCATTTGGTACGTGTGGCTACTTGTCTTCAGGACGAACTTACTTACATTATATCTTATATGTTACTACTGCTGCGCGGGCTGGCACTACACGATGATGCCGTCGCTCTGGCGCTGCGGCAAGGAGTACCGGGACGTGCCAATGTCGCAGTTGAACCCCTGGAAGAAGACCGGGTGGCGGTATCGCTGCAGGCGCAGGTTCAGTTCCTGTTCGGCGCGCAGCAGCTCAGCCTCGGCCGCCTCTGCGTCGGCCTTCGCGCGCGCCTCCGCATCAGCGCGAGCTTGTGCTTCGGCTGCCTCAGCCTTAGCCTTGTCCTCCGCTTCGGCTTGTGCTCGAGCGGCAGCCTCCTTCTCCTCCTGCTCCTTCTTGGCGGCGGCCGCGGCCTCCTGCTCCTCCTTCTCCTTCTCGGCAGCCGACGGGCCGAACGTGCCCATGCGGCGGAACCAGCTCACCACGGGGTTTTCAGACTCGGCTTCCGTTTTGGTTGGTTCAGTGGCGGTATCCTCTTCATCATCGTCCTCCTCCGACGATGAAGACTCGCCATCTTGGACGGACTCCTCTGACGCTGGCACCTCCGTTTCGGTCGTTTCGGTCGTACAAGCCGCAGATGAATCCTCCTGTGCGACGACGTCCTGCTCGGGCTCCGTAACTGGTGCGTCGGCACTGGCCACCACCGGCTCGACGAAAGCCACTTCTTGCGCGACTATCGTAACGCCCTCGGACACCTCCGAAACAGCCACCATAGTCTCAGCAGGCTGAGCGGCGGCAGCGGAGGGCTCAACCTGTGCGATTGGATCCAGCGGTGCCGCGGGCTTGTCTTCCTCGGTCGGAGCAGCAAGGTTCTCCTCACTCTCGGGGACGGCGATCTCCTGGGTCCCCACTGTCAGTGTCGTGTCCGCAGCTTGGATTTCCTCCTCCTTGGCGTCGACAGGCTGTTGGTTGTCGGTAGCGTCCTCCACCTCGACAACCTCGGCCTCCTCGTTGGCATCGGCGGGCTGCTCTACCGTCAGCTGCTCCATCTCTTTGGGCTTGGCCTGCTCCTCCTTGGCGGCCTTGGCCTTCTCGACGTTCTCCTTCATCGTCGACACCACCGCGGCCTGAATGGCTCCGTTGACGAGCGTTCGGCGACGCAGCATGGCGATGTAGTTCTTGGCAACGGCACCGCCGGTCAGCTCCGGGTCGTGCTGGGTCGGCTCCAGCGGGGCCTTGCCCGACTGCGACTTGGGCGAGGCAATGGCCTCCTCGACCGCAGCAGGCTTCTCCTCGAGCTCGAGCTCGACGTTATTCTCCTGAACCGCAGGAGCCCCCTGCTCGGATTTGACCTCCCGGGTCACTTCCACTTCAACGTCCTCCGCTTCAACTTGGTTGTCCTCTTCCACAACTTCAGTTTTCTCAGAGTGGTCCTCCTCGGCGTGATCGTGTTCGTCACTCTCGTGGCCACTCTCCAGGAAGTCGTCGTCGTCGTCGTGGCCGGGCAGGGGCGTGTCCAGCAGCAGCTCCTCGGCCACGGAGCTGCCCTCGCTGGCCGTGCGCTCCTCGTCGTCCTTGAGGTCCAGGTGCTCGGGGATCTGCAGCAGCTCGCCCAGCAGCGCCTCCATGCGCTTGGGGTGGCCGCGCATGTCGAAGTAGGCCAGCGTGCTCAGCAGGAAGTCGTCCAGCTGCTCCTGCCGCTCCTCGGGCGGCGGCGAGAAGAAGAGCCCGCCCTTGGGCGGGAAGTCCACGTTGAAGTGCTTCTCGAGCGCCGTGAGCCGCGTGTAGAACTGGTAGAACGTGTTGTAGCGGATGGCCAGCGTCCACACGCGGCCGTCCACCTCCACCTCCGTCGTGTAGGCGTGGAACGTGGTGTAGTCAAAGCCCGTCACGCGCGCGTCGATCTCCCTCATGGCTCGTGCTGCTTGGGTGCGAACCAGACTCTAACTTGCAGTCGCCCGCTTGACCGAATCAGCGCAGATCGGAAAGTGAGGCGATGCAGCCATTGGAGTTTTGCCGACCTGCAGCGGCATGCGAAGAAGGCCTTGGATGGCCTCGCCCACATGGCCACAAAGCTCTCGCTGCTGAACAGAGCGGCCATCTTGAAGTTGAAACGATCGCTGGTTGAATGATCTTAGCCGGGCCGCTGACAAAACGTGCACACATAACGTGGCTGCTGCAGATCTTTTTCAAGTGAAGGCGTCGACGTTGCAGCGGCGGGAGTTCGCATGCAGGCGATGTACACATACAGTATCACGCAGTCTCCACGATGTCGGTGTATCGGGCGAGAAGGTTGGCGACGACCAAAAAAATGTCAATTCCACAATCTGGTTGTATTGCAAATGTTGCCATCGTTGTGAAACCACCCGATCAAATTTGTGTGGCATTGTATGGTAGTTCTGCCAACGCCATTGTATATCTCCCGTGTTGTTAGAAGATACGCAATATCCTCATGACCACCGGGCACACATCATCTGGGGTAGTGTTCACAATTCCTTTTTAACAAAAATATGTTTAATTTGACATGTTAACATATTTTTTGCCAAGTGTGCCACCCGCTTCGTTAGTCGCACGTGAATTGAGAAACCAGAGCGCAACCTGTCGAAGAGGGGCGACTCGTCCAACGAGGGAGGCTGCAGAGAGCGTTTGAGACCTTCTGCGGGTGGACCAAGAGGAAAATGATGGAAACCAGTTCCTGAAGCGGATTCGATTATAGACTGCGGAGCTTCTCGACGTCAACATCTGCGCTACGACTTGCGGCGACAGCGCCCGAAAATACATTTACCCTCGTCAAAATGCAAGTAGCGTGTGTTCAGCGGCAGATGTTGCCTTCGGCGACCCAGGTTGGGCTGGTGCCGCCGATACAGTAAGTTCACGTGGCCCCTCAAGTAATGGTGCACCTTTTGTCACTCTGACGATCCGCGTACTATTATTTTTAAGATGGAGGGTGGCTAAAATGTCGCTATTTTTGAAAAAAATCGCAAATTTGCATACGTCAGGAGTTGCGGCTGGGCTAAAAATCGGGCGGATAATTCGGCCGGAGGTAAAAGGCAAGTGAAAAGACTGCAACTTGCTCCGACACTTGCGGGAAGATCGCCATCGGCCCGTTTGCCGCGCGACTTAGCCTTTTCAAATACGGCTCGGTTGGCCAAGCACTTCCGACGGGCTTCCGGGGGCGTTGCGGTACTCTTCACCAAATTTGCGCGCTCATTTGAGCCGAGCTCTGGCAGCCCTGTGAATTGTGACAGTGATGGCTGACGCGCGCCGCGCCGTTCCACCCGAGTGGCGCCGCAACACGGGCCGAAGCTCGTTTTTGCCGGGGCACAGAGTTTTTTCGCCCAGCGGCAAATCCGATCGCGGGCTGCTGTCTCAGAGCCGCATGGTCAATTGTGTACAAAAAGCACTTTGACCCGGATGTCCACACGTTGAAGTGATCCATCTGAGATCGACGCATTGCGATCTAGACGATCTAGATTGGATCGTCCAGATGCGGATCCACTGCAAGGAGGGGCGGTTACTGGCGTCACTAACTTTGGAGCCATGTGGAAAAACTGAAGATACAGTAGCTAAATGGACAAATAGTATTATGGGCGAGCGATTGCCGCCTTATCTGCGCGCGAGCACCATGGGCAGCAGCAGCGCCACACAGAGCACCACCAGGTTCGTCTTCTTCATGCAGCGGCGCCGCACGAACGCGAGCAGCGACTTGGGCAGGTACGCCGCGAGCCAGGACGATGCGCTGCTGCTGCTGACCGCGAGGTCCTGCTCCTCCTTCTTCTCCACCTCCTGCTTCGGCGCACCAGCGCTCGTGTCAGCCAGGCTCTTTTTGGCGGCCTGCGGCTCTGATGATACGGGCTCCTCCTTCTGAGCAATCGGCTCGACGACTGGCTGCGGCTCGGGCAGCACCGCTTCCGGTTGCTCTGCCCGGGGCTCAGCGGCAGTCTCTGCTGCTACTGCTGCTACCTCCTGGGCGATGGCCGCCGCTTCTTCAGCACTCGCAACCTCTTCAGGAGCAGAAGGCTCTGTCTCCGTGGCTGCTTGTTCCTCGACGGGAGCAGGTTCCTCCTCCTGCTTCACCTCAAGTGCCGCCTCCGCTTCCTCCGCAGGAGCGGGCGTCTCCACGTCGTCTTCGTGGGCAATGGCAGTCTCCACCTCCTCCACCGGACGAGCCTCGTCAGCTACTGGACTGGCAAGCTGCACCGGCTCGGGGGCCGCAACGACCTCCACCTTTTTGGCAGCAGCAGCAGAAACAGCTTCTGGCTTCGTATCTTGGACAGGATCTTGTTCGGCCGGTCCAGCAGGAGCTGCGTCTGCTGCGCCCTTGGCCTCGGCTGCGACTGGTTGTGTCTTCTCCTTCTCCTCCTGCTCCTGCTCCTCCTGCTCGAGGCTGAAGCTGTCGGAGCTGCTGGGCGGCTCGTGCATGGGCTCGTCCAGCACGCTCTCGGTGCTCGTGGACACGTCGTCGTCCTCGTGCTCGGGCGAGCGGAGGTGGCGCGGCACCTTGAGCAGGTCGCACAGCAGCTCCTCGATCTCCGCGGGGTGGCCGCGCGCTGCGTAGTGGGCCAGCACCTGCTGCAGGAAGGCCTCGAGCTGCTCCTGGCGCTCCTCGGGCTTGGGCGTAAAGAAGAGCGTGCCCTTGGGCGGGAACGCGGCGTGGAAGGCCTTGTCGGCCAGCAGCAGCTGGTCGTAGAACTCGTGGAACTTGCTGTAGCGCAGCCCCAGCCGCCAACGGTGGCCGTCCACGTTCACCTCCGTCGTGTACGCGTGGAAGGACGAGTGGTAGAAGCCCGTGACGTGCGCCGAGATGGCCTTCATCCTGACTGCCTGGACTCGGCTGGGGGGGCGGACGTGTGCGCGCTACAGCGCAAAAGCGAAAGTGCCAGCCACTCGACACTGGAGTCCACGCCCGCGGTGGACGCGTCAGGCAGCGGCAATTTTTTGCTGCAATGCTTATCTGGCCCTTTTTCTCGCAAATCAGCTCCACCGCGCGCCCTGTTTCCGGCCAGATCATGGGCGAGCGGCGCCGCCTTTGCGACACCTTGAAGGCGGAGGTGACGGGGCGCGGGGCAACGCGTTGCTCATGGGGAGGCAGCGAGCGCGGCGCTTGACTTACGCGGCGGAAATCAAGGGCGCTAATGGCATGTAACGAGGCATTTCGGGGCGCTTGCTGCTTGGGGTCAGATAACTTTAGGATTGTTTGGATATTTTTTCAGAAATTTACCATATGTGACAGTGTAGGCTCACGCTCCGAATAGTGGCCCCGATCTTGAGCGGCCGTTGAAGCGAGTGGTCAAGGGCAGCAATGCTGCTCAAGACTCCCGTTCACAGCCCCTTCAGTGAGGCTTGCGCATTAGAAGTCAATGTCGTAGTCGACACCTGGCCAGACACGCTCATAACGCACTTTAGTAGATCTGCAGCCAAAAGTACAAGGAACCGGCGGCGGCCTCACCGTAATGCATCAGCGGCATTTGCAAGATGAACACGGTCCACACGAATAAGTGGCCTTGCAAGAGGCGCCACTGCGACTCAAAGACGAACGCAAGCTGGTAGAGGGGGCAGACCCCAAACTGCTTGGTGAGAAGTACAAGCAGGCCGGCGAACCCTGCGATCTCGACTGTCCCGAACAAAAGGATGTTGATAACATCCTGGTCCAACTTCTCGGGGGTTGATGCTGCTGTTTGCGGGTAATATGCCGCCACTGGAAGATTGAAAAGAATGAACAGGTATACAGCGTAGAGCATCGGCAGAATACACTCAATGTACTCGGTCAAGAGAAGGTATTCCGAATGAAAGAGGGCTTGAAGTGCATCCCACACAGCCTGCTCCATCTCCGTTTGGGACGTACGAGTACGTAGACAATTGGCCGAAAGGCTAGGCGTCAACGTCGTGGTGCGATAGCGCTCAAAGTCTTGACCAGCTTGAAATATCTGAGCTTGTTTCGGGCTCACTGTGGCAGACGAAGGTAGTGTAGGCAACGCAGTATTGCGGACCATATTATGGCTAGTAGTCCGAAAGGTGTTCATGAAAGCTGTGCTTTCATCTGATAGAGGCAGAGGAAAGGGAGCAAAGACTCGAATACGGCAGCCATGCCACGAATCATCGCAGGACTTTTCGAAAACTCCCCGCACCATTCCTGGTAAGTCCTCAATGTAGCTCTTGTCACTTGATCGCCGCTTCATCCGAGTCTTTTTAACGGCTTTGGCTTGCTTGAAAATATCACGCAGTGCAACTAGAACGTGAAAACTGTCGAACGCAATAATGAAGACCGTAGTGGCGATCGATTTCGACATCTGCATGCAAATTGCCACGTAAAAAACGTTGAAAACATCCACCGAGAAAACCACCGTCGGTCCAACGAATTCATGGAGACCTTCCGCTGCCATCGCAAGGATAATCTTGGTGACCTTCTTGAAAAGTGGCAACACAATGATAAATATCGTTGGCTGGGTCCCCGATAGGTGATAACATACTGCGGTAAACGCCGGATACGCCATCGCCACAGCCCCCTTGGCAAAAAGAATAATTGCTTGAGCCTGAAGCTGCTGACGAAGTACCGGAGACTCGACAAGCAGTCGACGGCCAATTACCAGAAGTGTAAATACCCACCCTAAAACCATATAGGGCCCCACCATGATAATATATCCAAACGGAATCGGGAAGGCCCACATGGCAGCAACAAACATCGCCACTGATATGTCGGTAGCAGCGGTCCCCAACGCGATGACAATAGCTCCGCAATTTGAAATAGTCCCTGGTAGTATTTGCTCCTGTACTTGAGCGACAGCGCCTACTGTCACGGTAGCTGTTGCCAGGAAATACCGAATCCAAAAGGCGTAATTTGCTTGCCATCCTTCCGAAGGGGACTTCAGAGGTATACTGTCGATCAGCAGGGTCACGACTACCGCAGGAATTGGCGAAATAATGCAAACAGCAATCGCGCGTAGCAGCGAAGTTCGCTGATAGTTGTCGCGAAATGCCAGCAGCCGCTCGACCGAGTACTCGCTTCGGTGCCCGATGTGGCTTCGATGCCACAATGCCGCTATCCAGTTGTACACTGCAGCAAATATGCTGAGCTTTGCCTTTACCTCCTGCGCTTGGGCCTGGGGCCGGACCTTCGTCGAGTAGAGAATCATGAGCTGCGGTCTTTGCCACGTCTAAAAACAAAATGGCACGAATAAACAAGGTGTTAGAGGCTGAGTAGGGAGGATTTCCGTTGCTTGATCGAATTCCGTCGTCGCTGTAAAGTGAGGATGTAATGTCAAGGTTGATGAGTCAAAGCATACAAGTCTTCATAGTCTTCAATGAAGACTAACACACCCACATACTTAAAGTAGTGCATTAAATAGTTTCATACGTCCTGTTTTCCATGTGCAAGTAGGTGAAGGAAGAGTGACTTCGACACGAATCAACTGGAGTCTCCTCCCCTGACTCGAGTGCGTTATTACCAGCTTCAACACTGGGGCTGAGCACAGACCAGTCACTGCTCGCAGACGCTAACATGGGCACGCTGCGAGTCATTGCGCGGCCTACTGGCATCACATTTGAGTCTTCCTTTTCCATTTCTCGACGGGCGCGTTGCGCTTGCCGACGCGCTTTCCAGATCGAGCTCAGCGCCACGATCAGTAGCATGAATTCCATCGCCACAAGAAGCACAGGCGCCAGCAGATCGATACCTTTGCGCTCAACGTACTTGGCCGAGTTTCGTACGAGGAAACTAACAGCCACGAGGTATCTGAGACGCTCAGCGAGGTACGTGGCGCCAGTGATGTCCACTGCGTCCACGTAGGCGATCATGGCGTGCAGAACGCAGACGACCAGGAGGAAGTAGACGACGATAAAATTCTTGCTCGCCTCCGTCGTAGAAACGACCAGGTGGACGATGCCCAGTGGCGCGAGGAAGTCGTTGAAGCGGTCCCAAAACACCTGCAGCGCGATACTCGCCTTCTCATTTCGGGACCCCTTGATGGCGTCGGCTCCGGGCAGCCCAACTGCGGACCGACCAAGGCCCTGCAGTGCTCGACCCAAACTGTCGACAGCTCGTGCTGCTGCGATTGCACAGATAAGATCCGCCACCAGCGCGTTCACGCCTCTTTTGAATGTGTACAGGTTGGCCTGGACAAAGACAACGGCGAACACGTAGATGGACACGGGTAGCAGCATTAACTTTGCGGCTACGACGCCCACCGCAAAGTAGTTCGGACTGTCGTCACTGCTCTGTTGCCTTCCCACGCGGTATTCCTCGCGCGTTTGGACGAGTACAAGACATACCACCGAGCAAGCAGCGAGACGCCCAGCACTGTGGAAAACCCAATAGCGAAATTCACTGCAGTTCTGTCCACTTGGTCCATGAGTTGATTTTCATCGCTAGCAGTCGCTTCCGCTCCCAACAGACTCCGCATGACTTGCATCTCAGCGGCGTCCGTGGTCTCGTAAAAGTTGAGCACCACTAGCACCGAATACGCGCAGTCAAGGAAGGCGTAAATCCACTCCTTGCGTGGAACTCCCTCAAGAACGGCTTTCTTCCGGACCCCGAGGCGTTTGAGCTCAAGACACTGCTTCACGACGCTCTCCGATCGTTCTGGTGGCATGCGATGAGGATCATGATCCACTGCTCGACACTCGCCTGGAGTTACAGCAGCGACCTCGACGCCTTGACCACGCTGCTCGGTGGGGCTTGGGAAGAACTCGCTGCTTGGAGTGCAGCCATTAGCATTAGTTGGCGTCAACGTGAGTCTCCGAGCCCTCGCTACTCGTCTCCGTTCACGGCGCGCGTGACGACCTTCGTGCAGCCGAAACGCAGTAAGCACGACGTCGGCGCCTGCGATGTTGTCACGGAACTATACTGTTCCGTGAAGGTAAGTTTGTAGAAGAAAGCAACGGACGACCCTAAAGGCAAAGATCGTGAAGCCACTCGAGCCGAGATCTCGAAACCACTCGAGAAGATCTCGCGACCCTCGGCAGTAGGTAGAGCTAGCGAGCCCCCACAATACACACTTTGATATTTTCCCTCTATTGCAATAGTCCTGCCAACAACGTCTACAAGCTCAGTATCGCCTGGCGGAGTCCCTGTCAAAGTCCTCCGTCCGTATCCTTCTCCTACGCTTCCTCCGACCGCAACGTGGTGCCCCTAAACGAAGTCCTGTCTGGACGGGGGTTCACCATTAGAAACGTCGTTTGTACATCTTTCATCGTTCATATACGTACTGGTTCGACTCGGCGTTACTGCTGACTTAGTTTAAAAAAAGTGTTGAGAATGTATGAAATGTATGGCTGAGCTCAGATTTCTTTAACTGGTACGACTAAAATGCTCCTTGGTCTACAGAGCGAGCCATGAATACTGTATCTTCCTGGTGGGCACGCTACGCTAACGGACACCACGTGTGTGTTATATTCTGCTTGGCGCATTAGCTCGGAAGTTTGCTGCATTGCGGGTGCGGCATCCGCAATGCAGCAAATCTTGCAGGACATGTTGTCCTGCAAAAGCACTAAAGATTGACTTTGCCAAGCTTGTGCCAATAATACTAGATTTTGTGTAGGATTTGACGCCGGGATGTTTCGATTTGGAAAATACAGGACATTCCGTCCTGCGCTTATGCTCGTGAGCCAGATCGATGTCCTGCAAAATCTGGAGAATGATTCTTGAACGGATTTTACAGGACATTACCAGGACACACAAAATTGTAGTATTTTGTCCAATCAGAATTAAATTAACATAGCATCGCAGTTTTGCCTGTGTTTGGCCTCACCGCAACAGCAAACATGCCATAGGCTGCCCCACCTGCACAATAGTATAACTTTACCTCTTCATCATCAAGAAAAGCTGGCCGAGACTGGGCCGGCGTAGGCGGTTGTAATTTATTGCCGAGTCGGCGTTGAAGCACGCTAATACGACCAGCTCTTCTTCGACAAGGACATCGTCAGCGATATGGCGCTCAACAAAAGTCTAATTCTATGCTCACCACCCACGCCGATGACTCCGTCCTACTCGTATCAGGAAACAAAGTGGCCGAGGGCTTCGAGTACAGGTGATTCGGTCTCGGGTGGCATGCTGGCCTGGATCTCGACGGGCAGGAGATGACGCGCGCAGACCAGCAACCATCAAGACTGAGGGCTCGCTACGGTAGCGTCGTGGGCGACTTCGTTGAGGACGATCACGATCACGACAACTAGCTGGTACGGCAGCTCTGGTATGGGCGTTCGGCGGAGGCTCAAACGTGGGCGGCTTCAGCGGGTCAGACCCTAAGGGAAGGTGCTGCAATTGCTCTTCGCTATCCAGGGACTTTACACATACAACGGTCATGGCAAGCGTCGACACAGCGTGTGCCCCCGCAATTAAATGTTGCGATTAGCAATGGGTAATGGAGAGCTATTGTTTGTACATCTTTCAGCGTTCATATACGTACTGGTTCGACTCGGCGTTACTGGTGACTTAGTTAAAAAAAAGGTGTTGAGAATGTATGAAATGTATGGCTGAGCTTAGATTTCTTTAACTGGTACGACTAAAATGCTCCTTGGTCTACAGAGCGAGCCATGAATACTGTATCTTCCTGGTGGGCACGCTACGCTAACGGACACCACGTGTGTGTTATATTCTGCTTGGCGCATTAGCTCGGAAGTTTGCTGCATTGCGGGTGCGGCATCCGCAATGCAGCAAATCTTGCAGGACATGTTGTCCTGCAAAAGCACTAAAGATTGACTTTGCCAAGCTTGTGCCAATAATACTAGATTTTGTGTAGGATTTGACGCCGGGATGTTTCGATTTGGAAAATACAGGACATTCCGTCCTGCGCTTATGCTCGTGAGCCAGATCGATGTCCTGCAAAATCTGGAGAATGATTCTTGAACGGATTTTACAGGACATTACCAGGACACACAAAATTGTAGTATTTTGTCCAATCAGAATTAAATTAACATAGCATCGCAGTTTTGCCTGTGTTTGGCCTCACCGCAACAGCAAACATGCCATAGGCTGCCCCACCTGCACAATAGTATAACTTTACCTCTTCATCATCAAGAAAAGCTGGCCGAGACTGGGCCGGCGTAGGCGGTTGTAATTTATTGCCGAGTCGGCGTTGAAGCACGCTAATACGACCAGCTCTTCTTCGACAAGGACATCGTCAGCGATATGGCGCTCAACAAAAGTCTAATTCTATGCTCACCACCCACGCCGATGACTCCGTCCTACTCGTATCAGGAAACAAAGTGGCCGAGGGCTTCGAGTACAGGTGATTCGGTCTCGGGTGGCATGCTGGCCTGGATCTCGACGGGCAGGAGATGACGCGCGCAGACCAGCAACCATCAAGACTGAGGGCTCGCTACGGTAGCGTCGTGGGCGACTTCGTTGAGGACGATCACGATCACGACAACTAGCTGGTACGGCAGCTCTGGTATGGGCGTTCGGCGGAGGCTCAAACGTGGGCGGCTTCAGCGGGTCAGACCCTAAGGGAAGGTGCTGCAATTGCTCTTCGCTATCCAGGGACTTTACACATACAACAGTCATGGCAAGCGTCGACACAGCGTGTGCCCCCGCAATTAAATGTTGCGATTAGCAATGGGTAATGGAGAGCTATTGTTTGTACATCTTTCAGCGTTCATATACGTACTGGTTCGACTCGGCGTTACTGCTGACTTAGTTTAAAAAAAGTGTTGAGAATGTATGAAATGTATGGCTGAGCTTAGATTTCTTTAACTGGTACGACTAAAATGCTCCTTGGTCTACAGAGCGAGCCATGAATACTGTATCTTCCTGGTGGGCACGCTACGCTAACGGACACCACGTGTGTGTTATATTCTGCTTGGCGCATTAGCTCGGAAGTTTGCTGCATTGCGGGTGCGGCATCCGCAATGCAGCAAATCTTGCAGGACATGTTGTCCTGCAAAAGCACTACAGATTGACTTTGCCAAGCTTGTGCCAATAATACTAGATTTTGTGTAGGATTTGACGCCGGGATGTTTCGATTTGGAAAATACAGGACATTCCGTCCTGCGCTTATGCTCGTGAGCCAGATCGATGTCCTGCAAAATCTGGAGAATGATTCTTGAACGGATTTTACAGGACATTACCAGGACACACAAAATTGTAGTATTTTGTCCAATCAGAATTAAATTAACATAGCATCGCAGTTTTGCCTGTGTTTGGCCTCACCGCAACAGCAAACATGCCATAGGCTGCCCCACCTGCACAATAGTATAACTTTACCTCTTCATCATCAAGAAAAGCTGGCCGAGACTGGGCCGGCGTAGGCGGTTGTAATTTATTGCCGAGTCGGCGTTGAAGCACGCTAATACGACCAGCTCTTCTTCGACAAGGACATCGTCAGCGATATGGCGCTCAACAAAAGTCTAATTCTATGCTCACCACCCACGCCGATGACTCCGTCCTACTCGTATCAGGAAACAAAGTGGCCGAGGGCTTCGAGTACAGGTGATTCGGTCTCGGGTGGCATGCTGGCCTGGATCTCGACGGGCAGGAGATGACGCGCGCAGACCAGCAACCATCAAGACTGAGGGCTCGCTACGGTAGCGTCGTGGGCGACTTCGTTGAGGACGATCACGATCACGACAACTAGCTGGTACGGCAGCTCTGGTATGGGCGTTCGGCGGAGGCTCAAACGTGGGCGGCTTCAGCGGGTCAGACCCTAAGGGAAGGTGCTGCAATTGCTCTTCGCTATCCAGGGACACTACACATACAACAGTCATGGCAAGCGTCGACACAGCGTGTGCCCCCGCAATTAAATGTTGCGATTAGCAATGGGTAATGGAGAGCTATTGTTTGTACATCTTTCAGCGTTCATATACGTACTGGTTCGACTCGGCGTTACTGGTGACTTAGTTAAAAAAAAATTGACTTTGCCAAGCTTGTGCCAATAATACTAGATTTTGTGTAGGATTTGACGCCGGGATGTTTCGATTTGGAAAATACAGGACATTCCGTCCTGCGCTTACGCTCGTGAGCCAGATCGATGTCCTGCAAAATCTGGAGAATGATTCTTGAACGGATTTTACAGGACATTACCAGGACACACAAAATTGTAGTATTTTGTCCAATCAGAATTAAATTAACATAGCATCGCAGTTTTGCCTGTGTTTGGCCTCACCGCAACAGCAAACATGCCATAGGCTGCCCCACCTGCACAATAGTATAACTTTACCTCTTCATCATCAAGAATAGCTGGCCGAGACTGGGCCGGCGTAGGCGGTTGTAATTTATTGCCGAGTCGGCGTTGAAGCACGCTAATACGACCAGCTCTTCTTCGACAAGGACATCGTCAGCGATATGGCGCTCAACAAAAGTCTAATTCTATGCTCACCACCCACGCCGATGACTCCGTCCTACTCGTATCAGGAAACAAAGTGGCCGAGGGCTTCGAGTACAGGTGATTCGGTCTCGGGTGGCATGCTGGCCTGGATCTCGACGGGCAGGAGATGACGCGCGCAGACCAGCAACCATCAAGACTGAGGGCTCGCTACGGTAGCGTCGTGGGCGACTTCGTTGAGGACGATCACGATCACGACAACTAGCTGGTACGGCAGCTCTGGTATGGGCGTTCGGCGGAGGCTCAAACGTGGGCGGCTTCAGCGGGTCAGA